TTGGACAGTGTAAGATATGACAAAATAATAATAATTTATAAATTATCAAGGGTTCATGAGGGAGAGGGGAGCAGGGAGGGAGGGGATAAATGAGGAGCTGATACCCTCAAATAGAAAGCAAATGTTTTGAGAATGATGATGGCAACAAATACACAAATGTGCTTGACACAGTGGATGGATGTATGGATTGTGATAAGAGTTGTACGAGCCCCCAATAAAATGATTAAAAAAAGAAAGAAAAACAAAAACAGGCAAAGCCATCTAAAACAACAAAGGAAGTCAAAACCAAGAAAACAACAACAGAATAACAAGAACGAAAAGAAAGCCACTGGCAAAAATGGAAAGCCTATCAATAGTCTAAGGTCTGTTGGGTTTGATGGACTTTCGTATGGTAGAGCCACCTTTCGTTTTTGGAATGAAACCTAGTTGCGCTCAGGTTGATTCTGATGCCTGATAGTCTCGTGTTTGTCCCAGTAGAATTGTACTTGCTAGAGTTTTTCATAGCTGGGTTTTCAGAAGGAAATCAACAGGACTTTAAGGTGCTTTGGGGTGGATCCAAACCTCCAATCTCTCAATTAACAACTGAGAATGTTAACCATGTGCACCAACCAGGGACTCCAAGGTAAACATGTTGTGTGTTGTTGAGTCACTTCTGAGCCACGTGGCCCTGTAAGACCGTGTAGAATTGCCCCACAGAGTTTCCTAGACTGTAATCTTTATGGGGACAGACCACCAGGTCTTCTCTCCAGCAGAAGGACTGGCGCGTTCCCACCTCATGATGGACGATCCTTTTTATGTCTTGCGAGGTTCTATTTGCTTGCATCTTATGAGTTCCGTCTTTGTGAGCATGCGTGTAGTTTTCCTGTTTTCAAATGTCTTTGTCCGGCTTGGCATTAATGGTGTCCTGGCTCGGTTAAAAAGAATTGGGGAAAATAACCTTTCTTTCTACATTTGGAAGAATTTGTGTACATTATTTCTTCCTGGACTGTTTGGTAGAATTCATTGGTTCCAGATCAGGGCCTGAATTCTTATTTATGGGAATTAAAAAAAAAAAGGTAACAGCTTTAGACAGATGCAATTCACATACCATACAGTTCATTCATTTAATAAGCACAATTCGGTGGTTTCTGGCATAGTCAAAGAATTATGGAATCATTACCACTTTCATTTTAGAACATTTTCATCACCCCCAAAAGAACTCCCAGACCATTAGCTTTCACCCTCCTTTTGTGGGAATACTTTAAACTATGGATTCAATGAGGGGCTTTCTGCTTCCTTCCTGGTCAAACTCAGATGCCCACACTTCCCTGAGACTCCTGCCTGCCCAGGCGATGGATGTCGGCACACCAGGAGGCACCAAATTGGGTTCAGGGACTACAAAAGGGCTGAGAATGAATAGGGCAGTGTGCTCACGTTCTGGACCACGGAAATGGTGGACAACCTTAAACTCGGAATTTGCATCCTCATCTACAGAGTGGAGTTATCTCTGTCTGTTTTTCAGGATTGGAGTGGGGCAAATGAAAGAATGTGTATAAAAACTTAAATTACAAAATAACAATTTATTAACAATCAAGGGCTCATGAGGCAGGGGGGAGCGGGGAGGGAGGGGAAAAATGAGGACCTAATACCGGGGGTTTAAGTGGAGAGAAAATGTTTTGAGAATGATGAGGGCAAGGAATGTACAAATGCGCTTTACACAATTGATGTGATAAGAGTTGTATGAGCCCCTAATAAAATGATTTTTTAAAAAAACCTTAAATTTTGGAACGCATCATTAAAATAGTGTGGAAGGCATGGCCATTTGGCTGAAGAGACAGAAATAATCAATAGACCGGCATAAACCTTTAGAGCACCAACTGGATTGTTGGGCACTCGCTGTGTGCTAAGCACTATTTACAGGCTGAATGTGCATTGCCTCACCGAAGTCTTCGGGTAACCCTGTGAAGTAAGAGTTATTATTATTATTTTCCAGATGAGAAAAGCGATGCCTCAAGAGGTTAAGTCATTCACGCTGGTTACACAGAGACCAAGTGACCGGCCCGAGGGGAGGGTTTGGTCAGTTTAGGCTGACTAGTGGCTCTGGAGAGGACTGCACTTGACACTTGTCAGGGGGACCCAGACGTGGCTAGTCCAAAAGCCCTGACCAAGCCATTCGTTCTCCTCTCTCACCTCAAACTTCTCACCTTCTCTCCAGAATTTCTGCGAACCCTTTCCCTTTGCTCTTCTCTCTCTGCTCCCCACGCTGAAATCCAGATTCTTCTCATAGCTCACAAATCATCCCTGGGATGGATGCAGAGGCTCCTGTTTCCATGGTGATGTGGGGAGGCCGGTGCGCCGCGCGCCAAGTGTAGGCGATGCGCAGAATTGGCTCTGGATCCAAAGGTGGACGTCCGCAGAAACCAGGCTCCCGGAGAAGGGATCGATGGGAAAGGCAACTCGGAGTGACTGGTCCTCCCTGGAGCTCCCGAAAAACCTCCACCCCCGCCACGCCCCCGGCCCTCCCCAGATTCCTAATTTGGGAGAGAGAAGAAGCTAAGAAAAAGAAAGTGGTGCGGGCTCCAAAGCAGAAGCTCCCACCCGGGACTTGTTTGAAGACAAAGCCTAGCGGCTGGTTGGGAAGCGGCCCGCTTGGGGCGGGTGGGGGGAAACAACCCCCACCCCTCGGCCCTCTGCTCGCCTCCCCCTCTCCTTCAGGGCTCTGACCTCATTCCCAGCCACCTGGCTCCGTGCCGGGGGCGGAGGGCAGCCGGGCAGCCGGGCAGCCGGCAGGGGGCAGGTGCACCCTCATTAAGGCTTTCGGTGGGATTCCCTCGCTCCGCTCCCACCCCGCCTCCCGCTTTCAGCAGGATTATTTTCAGCTGACAGTCTGCAAAGGCGCAGGAGGTGGATTTCTGGCAGGGGCTGGGAGCCTAGGAAGGGGCTGGGGCCCCACTGGGAAGGAGGGTATCTAGCGCCACAGAATCAGGGGCTGAGCAAAGGGCCCCTGATGTGAATTTTTACTGTCATTTAGGATTTCTTCTGCGTTTTTGCTTTGTTTTGAATCCGTTGATAACATTGAAAGCCCCCTAACCTTGAGCGGGAGGCTTATGCATTCATCCAAAAACTGTTGATGAAGTATCGACTACTGTCGTCAAGAATGGATGTGTCCAATCAAAAACAAGTCTTAACTGGCGGCCTACACAGTGGTTTTTCACAGGGGTGGAGGATGGCTCATTTCTTTGGGGATTATGAGTTAAAAAATACAGGTTCAAAGATGGGGGTGGGGGTGGAAATACAGGTTCTCTCCCACAAAGAACGCATTACAGGCTTACAGACATTTTTTACATGTTTTCAGGAGTGTCATGAACCCTGGAAGCTCCTTCCTGGACCCCAGAATGTAGATGTCAACAGGCAAGTGGGAGACAGCCCAGAGAAGCTTAAACTGGAGTGGAGAAATACAGGTGCACTGGGAGACCCCAGAGGTGGGCCACCTGCCTAGACCGGGGGCCTCCTGGTAGGCTTCTTGGAGGAGGTGGCAGGGAAATTGAAACCTGAAGAGAGAGTCCGGGCCGGCCAGGCAAAGACCCGAGGAGGGATGCTGTGAACAGGGAGGAAAGCATAGATCAGGGATGGGAGTCTTTCTTTCTGCCAACGCCCATTTGGATTTTTTAAAAAACATTTTCGGGGGGGCTCGTACAACTTCTTATCACAATCCATCCATCCATCCATTGTGTCAAGTACATTTGTACATATGTTGCCATCATCATTCTCAAAACATTTGCTTTCTACTTGAGCCCTTGGTATCAGCTC